TAAGAACATAAGACTTTGAGACCCAGACATAATTGGCATGTAGAGAACTGAACCAAAAATACTTCAAATCACCCAAGGGATGAGAAGCCCAGTGGCTCCTGAAAAATTAAAAATAAGACAAGGCCTGAGAGATGATGGCCGCCATGATCAATAAGTAGTGCTGAGGGGACAGGTGCTCTTTGGAGTGAGCCTTCCTGGGAGATGTCATTTTTAGAAATCCTTTGACAAGCCCACAGGCCACGTCGCTCAGGGAAGGCTCTGTTTGCCTGTGGAAACATAGCCAGCTTCCTCCTTCTCCCTGGTTATCTCCAAGGGCTTGGGGGAACCACTGAATGCTAACGGGGAGAGGTATTTGAGATCGGATTGTTTTTAGGTTCTTTAAACGCATGTGGGCCCTGCCTTGACCTCAAACGGTTACGCGCTCAACTATTAGCTAAAAGGTTGGCAGTTTGAACCCACTCAAAGGTGCCTCAGAAGACAGGCCTGGTGATCTGTTTCTGAAAGGGCACAGCCTGGAAAACCCTATGGAGCAGTTCTACTCTGAAACACGTGGTGTTGCCAGGAGCTGGAGGTGACTCAGTTACAACTAACAACAACAAACACGTGTGGTTCCTGTCTTGACCTGTTTCTTTTGCCAGTCTGCTTTCCTGGAGAACGAGACAGAAAGTGACTTAATGGGAAATTGCATTGTATTTTTTATTCCTTGTTGTTGTTGGGTGATGTCTAGTCAATTCTGACTCATAGGGACCCCATGTGACAAAGGTAGAACTGCCCCATGGAGTTTTCTAGGCTGTAATCTTTATGGAAGCAGATCGCCAGTTCTTTCTTCCGCAGAACCACTGGGTGGGTTCTAACTACCAACTTTTCCGTGAGCAGCCCGGCGCTTAACCAAAACCACTCTCCCTGCGCTGGTAGCTATTTGCAAAAGTAGAGTATAATGTCTAGTAAAAAGACCCCTTTTCAAAATGGAAGGTAACAAAAATATTCTTCTTTCTATCATTAGATTTCTCAGCATCTGAATCTAAAGAACCAGCTTCCCCAACACCCTCCCCACCCCACATCCCTGATGCCCCCAACACATACATACATCCTATCCCCTAGCAACTCAGCTCTACCCACTGAATCAGAAAGTCTGGGGGTGTGACCCAACAATTCCCTAATGATCTGGAGATCTGATGGGGATGGATTTGGGGCCTCTACCACAGAGATTCCGATTCAGTAATTCTGCAGTGGGACCTGGGAATCTGCATCTGTAACAAGCTCCCAGGTGGTGCTGATGCTGCTTGTCCAGTAGGGAGCCCCAGTGCTCCCTGCCTCAGGGTACGGGCATCTTCTGTAATCTTAGCAATGCACACGTACAAAGATACTGCAAGGTGGGGAGTGGGGAGGGGAGCAGAGGAAAAGAAATTCCATCACCAGAGCTGAGCTCAGGCTCCCTTCCTGAGATGCGATGTTAGAACAGACACCTGCTCCTACTCACCACACTTCATCAGAACTTTTCCTTCTTATTATCTCCTTATCAGTATTTCTGGCCCATATGAGTATCCCACTAATTAATGTCTGGAGCACCTGGGTGGTGCAAATGGTTAACGAACTCAGCTGCTAACCAAAAGGTTGGTGGCTGAAGTCCACCCAGAGGCACTGCAGAAGAAAGGCCTGGCGATCTGTTGTTGTCAGGTGCTATTGAGTCGGTTCCAACTCATAAAGACCCTATATACAACGGAACGAAACACTGCCTGATACTGCCCAGCTTCTTGGATTATTTGCTCAGCATACAGATTGAATAAGTATAGTGAAAGGATACCTCCCTAAACGACACCTTTCCTGACTTGAAACCACGCTGTATCCCCGTTTGAACGACTGCCTCTTGGTCTATGTACAGGTTCCTCATGAGCATAATTAAGTGTTCTGGAGTTTGCATTCTTTGAAATGTTATCCATAATTTGTTATGATCCACACAGTCAAATGCCTTTGCATAGTCAATAAAAC